GATGAGGGAATGACATTACAATATGACATAAAGCTCAAAAAGTTAATTTTTCAAAATGCCACCCCTTTAAAGAGAGCAGGWATGTGTTCATCTCACATATGTCACCCTGCAGATATCAGTTCTTCAAATTAGCAGAGTCTATTGATCACTCTCACTACAGATGGCAACCAGAGCCTATTTAAACAGTCAGAGCACTTTTTCACAGATGTTCAATTTCTCTGCAACACTGTACGCACTCTTGGCAGTTTAGTGTGCTTCCATGCACATTCTGAGAGAAAAATTACATATGCACATGTCTTACAAGTGTAATTGTATTTCAAGTGTGTAAATGTGGGTCATRTGAGACAAGGCCTGTTATTAGTTAGTGCAATAAATCACTATATGTATTATTATTTGGTCTCCCCAAAATCTTTCCTATCATTGAATGCAACTATGATCTGAGGTTTTGATCGATTATCAAGGGAATTGATGAGATGGRGGTAGCCAAGTCTGTATCTGAAAACCTCTCTACACCCTACATGTTCCTACTCTCCGCGCAAAGGAATTTGCACTAATYTTCTCATAAAGCTCTCATTTACCTGGGATGTGAGTCTCTTCTGGCTCCACTGTCGTTTTATTTATCTCTCTGTGATGAATTGGGCCACGGCGCGTCCTTCCCATAATAGAATGTAAAACAGGTTACCCACTGTTATTGACCAAAGCAATTATCCTCTTAAATGTGTTTCATCTCCTATGGTCTGTCACGCAGAAACCATGCAAATATCCAATATTAAGATTCTATCTTTGCTGAGGGTGTTTTTTTATTTATTTATAATTTTTTTGCTCAGGTCTATGAATTACAAATAATTTATTTATGTATTTTTTGTACCTTTTTTGGTCAGATAATAAAAAAAGAAACAAACTAATGCATAAATATGTAATCTCTCCCTCAGCTTGTTCAGACAATTCATTCAAGGGCAGCCATGCAAGTAAACATATGTGTGCAGATGGCAGCATCTAGTCGTGAATGCTCACGGCCCTACAACTCCACTAATGCACAAAACACAAACACCAGCAGCTTATTTCAAATATGACTAAAAGCAGTCTATCTGGAGAAACACAAATTAAGTGAACAAACACTTGTTGATAAAAAAGAAGCCTGTAATTTATCAGGGACAAAGGAGTTGCTTGATTTTGTAGCTACAGAACCGGTTGTGCCAGTATGTACTTATTCACATGTTGAGGGATTTAAGATGCACTTTTTAGTGTACATATTAAAGAAAACATTTTCTTTGTCTTTTTGTTTTTAGGGAGAGGTTATAAAGAGAGACTGATTCAGGGGCTGAATCCTTCGAAGGCTGAATTTGAAGGCAGCGTCACAGCGATAAACTGTGCTGTCCAAATTCGAAGGCTCCTCCAGATGCGACTCACAAAATTGTCCTCCTTTTTTTTCAATGTAAGGGAGGGGTCTGGTGTGTCCTTCTCAGCCCACCCTATCCCAAGATGCATTGCAGGTGAACTGGGAGATTTTATTTTTTTTTTTTTTTGCTTGTAAAGGCGTATGAAGGAACTGACAGGAGAACATTTTTAAATTAAAATCTGGGGATATAAAAAAACCTGATTTATTACAGTTGTGGTGTTGCGTAGATGTGTTTTTTTTATTCTTGTCAGAAATCATCATAAACGAACTTATATGTTGAAATAAACAAGCTGATGGGGTGGGTCCCTTAGTTATTCTTCAAGAATTACCTCCAAGCTAAATTTGCTAATTTATAAAAATATATTTAGCTAATTTTCAATCTCTTCATTGCTTCTGTTTAGCGTTGGCATGGTTGGGACAGGACATACGCTTGGGTAAGGGCAGGAATAAAGCTGAAGGCTAGACCGTCCAAATTCACAGCCACTTCCTTCTGTTCTCTGTGGTGGACAGTGCCCTACCCATGTTGACTGGGTAGGTCGGGTCCTTCGAAGGATGCAGCCCCTGAATTTGGACACAGCCAAATAGTCGTGAAATCCTCTCAAGGATATCTAACAGCAACAAGATAATTTTCCAGAAAATAGCAACGCATGAATTAAAAATGTGTTTTTGCCATTTTTATATTCTTCTGATTTCATGAACAGCAATGATGGTCATTTTGAAAAGAGCATTCCAGCAATTAGTCAGTTAGCCAAACTAAAGTACAACAAAGTAGTTTAAGTTTTGGAAAAATATATTTGTGTTTTTTTTTTTTCTGTATTGGTTGATTGTCAGGCCAAATTTACACCTAACTGATTTTAGGCAGCAGCTGTTGGTATACAAACTCTATTATATAAACCCTTTTCTAGTTCTTTTTCATTTCAGTTTGTTGTGTTTTTTATTCTGGGAGGTTTTCACTTTAGAAAAAGAAAGGCCACAAGGGGAAAACAAGTCAGTTGCTCAAATGAAGCATAACATGTTTAATTTATCTTAGYGGGTGCTTCTGCAGACCCACTGACAGGTGCCATACACCACATATAAAGTCTTACTCACTTTGAGCAGAGGATTTCCGCTGGGAAGACTGAGTTTGTTTTCTATATGCTCCCTTTCCCCTTTTTTAGCCCAAGAGCAAAATCCAAAAGCATTTAATCAGAGTGCAAAGATCKTTATCTCCCTGCGTAGTGGGACTTCCATATGTGAAAAGAGAACATTGTGAGAGAGAGAGATGACATAGTCTTATTGGTAGATTTTATWTGTTTGTATCTGTTTATATAATGGTAGTCAGAAATCAGCCTGTTCAATTGTGATACTAACTTTTAGCTCTTATCTTGTCTTGCCAAATTTGATTAGCATCAACTGTTGTTTAAATATATCTATTTGTCCATCGTCAAATTAGTCACCATGAGCTTATATCAAACCAGAAAGATGTCTTTATTAAAGGGCTTTTAGCAAAGGAAAGTCCATTTAGCATTTTCCCATGAAGTGTGCTGCCAAGGTAGAAGCACTTTAAATGCTGATAAATAATTAAATTTTCATGAAGGCTGTTGCCGACCTGAATGAGAAGTTCAAATTTATGCGAGGCAGATGATGCAAGCARTCGTATCACTAAAGCATGTACATGTCGCAAGTGGACTGATGAGAAATTTAAACCTTGTCACCAGCAATAAAAGAAAACATCACATGCTTTAGAGATTTGTTGTTGTGTCTTCTTCTTCTTAACATGAAACCTAATTTAACAAAAATTTATTGAATTGATTGTATATGTTATTCATATCCTTTGGTTTG